GTGCTTGGTTTGTGGTACTTGTGGTCAGAGGATGAGACGACCGCACGCGCGTTACTGGCGGCCGGCGCCAAGAAAAGCCTGAGATGTTGGGGTGGATGGTGGACGAACATGACTCCGTTCGACGTTGCTGAATCTGTCTCCGCGGACGCCGCCTCCTCCCGAGAACTTCTCCACCTCCTCCGCCCGTGACGTAACTCTGTCCCTCTGCGCGCGCGACGGCGGAGGTAAATTGTTCAAAGTATTGGTCACCCCGACCAGAAAATGAATTCTGGTTTCGTGGAATACATCCAGCTGTTCTTACCACTAAGCTACCTGGCCGATGATTGCGTTGAACAGATTCTTGGGTATGTGACCCTTCTTTAACATCACCTTTTTAGTCTCATCGCCACCCACGAGATCAGGGTACAGACGACATAAGGTGTCTAGCTAAGCATCACCAGTAAAAACATTCATGCGAGGAACAACTTCATTCCATTGCCGCAGTGAGTCGTGACTAATGGATAAAACTGGATGCTATTCAAGTTTGAATTCAGATAACAATACTTTAGAAAAAACATGAAAACTAGAAGGTATGGACTATTAACTTACTTGACTATAGACTTACAGACTGAAACAGCCATAAATGTTAGAATAAGTGGAGCCAGAAGAGAATTATAAATGATGAGTACAGATATGCGTAATTCAGAAAATAGTTCGGAAATAATTACTTCAGATAGGCCACCAAACATTTGTTACTCCATTTTGGAAGCCATCTTTCAGACAGGCACGCAAGTAGTCATAATATTCTTCACCCACCATCGCACTCCGGGCTCAAACACAACCAGTACTCGGCGAAAGAATGTCCTATAGATATTGTTGGTGATTTCAATACTCCTCTTGCACACTAGAAAGACGGCATGCGCGGGAAGATAGAACAGCCAATAGGAAGCAATTCTGCTGGAGATAGCGATTTGGATCAGGGCAGGGGCTTGAAATTATTGTAGATAATCTTAACTGTTGTATCGCCGAAATTCTTACTGTTTCGGTAATTTTAACACATTGTCTAGATAAAACAAAAAATACGCGAAAACAACTAATACTTTAGAAAATTAGACTTTTAATTCACTTTAGGTACAATTGTGAATACATTAGATGAAGTTTCTTCTTACATAAGTCAAATCGGAGTGAATGTCTTCGATTTCACAAGACATGCCTGTTCATAATCAGGTACGCATTTCAATTGATTCAAAGCCAATTCAACTGTGTTTAAGATTTCCATTTGGATCCTGTCTAACCGATCTAATCCCTGGAATGACCAAACAGATTTCGATGGAATTTTCATAGAAAAGTGAACTGTTTTATTGGAAGTATTTTAGGCAACAATATTTCAAATTATTATTTTCTATTATATAAAGAAGAATGATTGTTTTCTTGTTTTGAAACAAATCTACATTTTTACTTCCTTCTTAATGATGTTTTTTAATTCACATTGATCAATTACATTTCTTTCTATAGCGCAATTACGCGTAGAATAATAATTGCTATAGTTATTACTGAGAAATTCACCTGGAGTATGCAACAATGTATATGTACATGTTTACATCTGCTTATAGCGATGACAGTCGCGGGTCGAAGCAACAATGATTGTACGGGTGCGGGTGAGGGTGGTAGTGGAGGGAGAGCGCTATCGAAGTGGAGCGAGGCATCGAATGCCAATGAGAGCTAAGTCATAGTAGATCTAACCGAGTGGAACAGGGCAGAAGGATACCAGGCGTGGCTCAACAGGCCAGGTCAGACCAGACAAGGACGACATGGAATAGGGTAGGAAAGCATTATAAAGAGAATGCACTTTTTCTCTCTGTCAAACAGTTGCTTGTGATTAATAAAAACCCGGCTAACGCGGTACGAAACGAAAGAGTGAAAATTAAACACAGAGGAAAATCGAATAAGGACTTCACACAGAAATCGTTCTAATCAAGTTATTACATTTTTCCTTTTTTCATTTTAGTGTCGACTTATCGTAAATTAAAAATTGTGGGACGTATTACAGAGAGAAGTGCCCGATTTCTCTAGCTCTTGGATCTCTGTTCATATCCAGGCGAGGGCGAGAAAATGGTAAGAAAATATTCGTTCCCATGTAAAAATCTATTGGCAATGACAAACCGGCTACAAATTTCGGCTATTTTCTCTTATCAATCCCATCCCTGACAGAACAGACTGCCCTCTTTCGAGAACTTGGAGAAAAAATATTATTTTAAATAATTATATTCTCTATCAAGCTTAGGAAAACGTGCATATATAGAGAAGAACATTTATTACAGATATTGTAGTGCACGTATGTCTAGAAGCAAAATATGGTGACACTCAGCATTTGCTCGAAAGATCAGGGAAACTAGCCAAAAAAACTGATAGAATTCGAAATGATTCAAAAGAAATATAGGAATTCTATGCAAAGAAAATTGCACAAAAGTTTTAATAATTAAAGAATATTCTTGACGGAAATACAAAAAAGAGAATGGAGGTTTTAGTATGTTTGTAGAAGTAAACTAGAAATTTCAGAATAATGCATACTTTTTCATTAACTTTTTGTATGACATTGCATATATTGCCGTTTATACTTGTGTAATACGTTAAAATATAAAAAACCTCCATTTTCTGCTTATTCCATGCACTGTAAACGTCTGATAAAATGCAGACTGTATAAAATAGTAGCGTTTGAACTTATGCAAACTGTTAATTAACGTTTTGGAAGTACAGATATTTTCATCTTCAATAAGCAAACTTTGACAGAGGAATTAAAAACATGAACTGTTCATATTTTTTACAAATTCGTCAATGGGAGGGTTAATGTATCATAAAACTTGTTTTCTTTAAAACTATTTTAATAAATCTACATTGTATTTTCTTGTTCAAGTACTTGCAATATTATGTTAAGATAGTTGTGCACTTATGAGCCCTTGTCTTAAAAAAAAATGAGAAAATTTATTTTTTCAAGATCAGCAACACAAAATTTCCTGTTTCTTTAAACCTAGGCAATGGAGAAAACAAAATTCCCCGAAATATCAATTTCAATAGAAATAATTTTAGTGGTTGACGGCTTATATGTCAGACCTTTTTGTTTTTAAAATTTAAATTGGCAGTTTGAATCTGGTCTAGAAATATTTACACTTTTCTGTCAACTATTTCCTACTGTCTTCTATATTTTAGTAAAATTGTTTTGCTGATCAACTGAGAATACATAAAAAAATTAAAACAAATGTTTTATATTTATCACTTAATAATCCCATTTCGTATGTGTATAAAATTAAGTATAGTATGTGATTAGAAATCTCTGAAATATCTTCAGATATCAACTTAACACAACTACTTTCTTTTATCAACCTCACAAATGCTTAGTGCATGAAAACGCATTCAATGCATCATAGAGTAGTAGTAGTAGATTAACCCTATAACTTCGATAACCTCGACCTTGGTACTGCACTCCAGGCATTACACGCGTTTTGAGTATCAATTCTGACAACCTCTAATTTTGAAGGATTATTGTTTACAAAATTATTCATAAGTAAAAACAATTGCACTTCAGATTGAATTTTTTGTATCCATAAATACGATAACCCTTACAATTTGTATTTCTTTGAGAACTCCAGAGTATTCTAAATTAACAGGAAAACCATAAATACTCAATACATTGGTAAATCTATTACCACAATTAATAAAAAGTTTCTCTATTCTTAATGGAGTGTATCCATTTCATTCAAATTTCAAATATTAGCAGAATAAATTAAGGAAGATATGTACAAGAAATAAATGCGTTGTATTTCCATTAATGGATAATAGTATATTAGAACGGAATCTAATCAGGACGAATTTTATATTTTCCAAATGCCGCTTGCATAATTTACTGACACATTATGTTATTAACATACAGTCAATGGATGAACCTTGCTTCATAGAGTAAACATTTTCTTCTGAAGTTCAAATTTTTTTTTCTTTATTAGATAGAAAGCTTTAATTAACGTCGTTGCATTAAACTCCGAGGCTTTAATGTGACATGAAGATAAAAAAATTCTCCGTGAGTCAAGAAATCACATTAAGTTTACAAATGTTTTCCTGCCCATTCATCTCTGGGCATCGACACGTACCCGTTCACCCACTCGGGCACTTTTGAGAACCAGGAAAACATTCTTGAGATGATGAGGTTAATGCTCTTTAAAAAATACGCACGTAGGTCGCACGATGTTTTACTTCCACTTTTTTACAACGATCTGGAAATTGAAGAAACAGGTTCGGCAAGCTTACGCGTTTCAGAAGGAAATATGTTTCCAGGAATTATATTTTTAAAAATTAGTCGGTGATAATGTCGATCTACAACAATTTTTTCCGTATTGCACGCACTTAAAATATTCAAGATGCGTGTTGAAATTTTCAGTTTAATCATGCAAAAAGCTATTTCAACCAACTTTTAAGAAAATATTTACTGACTTGTTGGTCGTGTACTGTTCAGGACAACAACTTTTCCAGCGATACCTAGTGTGTCATCCTCGATCGAACAGTTCTGAAACTCTAAAAGAGAAGGGAATGCCTAGCATAGAAAACATAGTGTCTCACAAAAAATTATATTGTCCGACTCAGCGTTTTCACGGCATTAACTATTTTCCTTTCACGTCAATTTGACATCATGTGCAATGAGATTCAAAATTCGAATGCTCGGCTAAAATTATTACTCTTTCAAAAGTTTCATTCAACAATTATGATTCACAAGTTTATTATCGTCAGCATTAGGCAGTCCAAAATTTATAAATACCATCGGCCCTTCAAATGATTGATATGTCAAACCCCCAAAAGGTATCGGATCATGCTTCGAAAGCATCTTCAAAAATGACTTACAAGGATTACGGGGCTTGTTTTTCAACCATTCCTCACGGGGCAAGCAGCGACTCGTTCACCCACTCAGACACTCGAAAGCACGGATCACGTTTCTTCAAGGGAAAGGCACTGCCCGGCGGGAAAAAAAACAAGACTCACGTAGGAAGAACGACATTTTATTTTCATTTTTACGCCTTAAGTCTACGAGAAGCGGTTTGACTGAGTTGATGAAACTACATCTACGGTGGGCGAGGATCGAATGGACAGTGGGCGTGATGGAAGTGAAGGTGATGGTGATGGATATAGAGATGGTGATGGATGTAGTGATAGTGGTGGTGATTGTGGTGACGTTGCTCAGGTGACGCGCGCCTGGCGACGGCGCGGTGGTGGCAGCGGTGCTGGCTGTTGTGATGTTGGCCCACCATGCACTGGTACGACACGGTGGAATGGCACTGCATAATACGGCTCCTCTGTTGCTTCTGTGCAAACAGTATATTTTAATTTAGTATTTTCTATTAAGGTCAGATGAATTTAAAAATAAAATAGTGTAAATTAGTATTCAAAGCAAAATCACCACGGCTCGGATTCTGATTACCAAAACATTTGAGAACTTTTTTAAAAATACTCAAAAATTTGAAAGAAAATGTTTGTTTATTCAATGAATTTTATAATTTTAAATAACATTTATTTATATAAAATTATTTTTAATATAAAGACTTTAAAATAAAGTGAAAATAAAATCCTTAACTCCGAAATTCCAACCGTCAGTTTTGAAAGGTCGAGGAAATTACCGAAGTTACTCGAAAAGCATAACCCGCTAGTAACCCACCAGTAGTAAATTGCGTCATGAACTGATGATACAATAAAAAGTTTGTTGTAGTGTGTCATGGTATATTCGTGAAACATTCACTAAAAAACACGAAATGGAAAAAAATGTTAAAAAATGGCACAAACGGCACACAAAATTACCTAAAAATTACCCCTAAAAATGACCCCATAACTACACATCTACAACCTAAATAGAGATTATAGTCTTAAATAAAATATCGTTTAAAAATTAATCTTTAGAAAAAGTCATAATATTATAAAAAGCCGGAAACCCAACAACTATCACATCACCTGATTTTTTTTAATTAGAGTGGTTTAGCGTAATCTTGAATATTTGTATTCTGTCGTGATGAACATTCATGTACATTAGCTACCCTGAGAATGCAGCAATTGAAAGATGACATATCATCAGTATCCGAGCCCTGATAATCATTAATTTTATACTTAGTCAAAACCTACAAAGACAATTAATACATCTCTTACTAATTATAACCATCTGTCAACTCAAAAAATGAGTTGACGCAGCCATTCGGTCTCTCTCGATTGACAGGGAAAAGACCATACTACCGTGCACTGCGCACTTCTACATAACTTCAGAAGATGGTGAAAATGCGCTACCCTCACCCTTTCGTACTGCCATCTCCGATAAAATGTTTTGACTCGTTTATTTACATCATCTTTTCGATGTTACGAATTTTTCACTGTGTATGTTCTGACGACTTTTATCATTAGTCCGTAAGCAACCCCCATAACGAAACATAATGTACAGAATGACTCGTCGTGAGATATTGCCGGTAAAAGATCATGCGTAATTACTCTACGATTTTATGACCCTTTCGTGCCCTTCCATTACTCACCAACGTCATTTAAAATATCTGTTTCCAAGTGAACCACTGTCAGCTGCATGCAGTGTTTTCAATTAATAGCTGTTAATACAGAATAGGAGCAGTTGGCAATGTTAGATACCACATAGTTATTGAGTAGATGCCCTGTAATTATAAGGAATGGTTAATTATTATAGGAATGCGATTAACTATTATACGAATATGAACGCGATTTTTGATCTACTATAGGAACGTAGTACCTCACAAGTCACGAAAGATCATGCGAGTGTCTTTTACAAGTACATAAATATTTATCGTGGACAATATTTGATTTTTTTCATTCCGTTTGTTTTATTAAAATACAATTTTCGAATATCGAATTAGATTACATTAGTGTATGTTCGGTTAAGTTAGATTTGGTAAAATAGTTTCGCGCACCAACACAAGGGGCGCCCACTAAAGATGTTAAACTTATAATGTCATTAGGTAGATAAATAGACAATTTCTGCTACCTGTATTAGTTATTTGTGTTATCGCCCGTGTTTTGTTGAACACTTTTTTTAATACCATTTTCTTACTTGAAAAAATTTTATATAAACAAGAAATATAATTTCTTGGAATAACTGAACTCAGAAGCTATATTAACTAGAAATCATTGGTTTCGATTGGTCTTAACGGTTGACGGAATGTTCAATCTTTAATGTATTCCAAAAGTGGTTTTAGGAGTATGTTAAGAGCAACCTTTTGTTCCTGGAAGGGATGCGTTAAATTGCTAACAACTTTACAATATTACGAAAGAACATATGCATCACCAGCAGACGATAAAGACGGTACTTTAGGAAATAATTAATTGATTAATTATCCATTCCGAAACGCCTTAACTTTCTGAATAAAATTTACTTGTTTTGAGTTCATTAAAACGTCATAAAAGAGTACATAATTATTATATATTTTGGTTAACAAATTCAGGAAATAATAAAAAGTAAAAAATTGTGTCCTTTTGAAGTACAAACACGTTAGCACTTTACCCAATGACTTTACGCTAGCCTAATTTTGACAATACAGGTCACAAACGCTGTATTTTGCTTTTTCACGCTTGAACAATAAGTGGCAATGACGTATTGTCAGTACTGTTCGCAATTGTGCAGCTTGTAAGTCATTTAAATAATGACTTAACTCGCAACAAACTCTCTGAATATCTTCACAATATGGAAGCAAACGAAGAACACATCCAATGGACAAAGCACAACTTCGCGGTCGTTATGGTCATGTCCTCAACTCTACAACACAATTCATACTTATGTGCTGCTATTCTTGCAGACAATGAAACAAAATATTCGGTTTGCGTTAGGGCAAACAATGAACAATACTGACAATAAACTTATTTGCCTCATTAAATAGTATTCTATCGAGAAGAGTACACTACTTATGCAAAACTCCAGACACAAATTTCTTAAAATATAAAAGCAATTACTTTGAATATCATCTACACGAAGAAATTTAAAACTGCAACCTACAGATTATTTGTTTATTGAAAATCATATTTTGGTCAATCATCAAAGATCCCTCATTTTGTACTGCCTGCAATTGGTTTGACGTTTTCATCAATTTCAAGTATTTCCTTCAATACACCAGAAAATATTAGTTGGATTCTCTCCTAAAACATGTCTTAAAAACACGTCATGTACGTGCAGAACAATCGACTCCAACCCATGACAAAGGAAACCATTCCATCCGACAATGATCATTAATAACAAAGTTATCGTACTTCGCTTAACATGGAATTCAGCCCTACTGAAATTTATTTTTATATCATTGCCAGTAATAGTACGAAAGTTACTTTTTGCGTAAAAAATACTAATTAAGAGCTGCATTTGTTGACTCAAAACAAAGCAGTGGATCGTCTTAACTTAATATATTATGCTCGAAGGATTAAGAGAAATTGGTGGTGGAAATTATTATAGTTCCTCAGTATCAGTCATTTAGTAATCTTCAATAGAAATTCATTGCACCGAAGATTTTACAATCAACCATAACCTTTGTTAAGAAAAAATATGAACGAAAATAAATTTATTTATTTATTTATAACATCTGCTTTAGGGGTACTCTCATCGAAACTCAACGGCTGGCGTCCGTGTGTTATACAAAGTTTCTTCCAGTTTAAACCCTGCCTGAAAATTATCTTAAGTCTATTCAAGGAAAACTAGGCAATATCGTGCTTGTGAATATGAAAAACCACAAACATGAATTACTTTCTGTTTATGAAAATAATCGCATAACTGAAATATCTTTATCGTAAATTTTGCTCAAGATAAAAAGGTATCCACGTATCGAAAATAATAGTTCGACCTTAATGTTTTTGTGGTAACATGCCCTTATTTATTGATTTTATGTTTTCCATTGAAGTTATTCTATTATAAGTGTATTGTAAGGTAATTCGGTACAGTTTATAAACGACTTAATCAAACAATACATACAAACAAATCAACCACAGCACAGCTTTGATATTACAATTAATAAACGCGAGTCTACTATTTTTAAATTTATTAAATTAATTAAATTTAAAAATACTATTTAACTTAAAATGACAAATTATTTAAATTATGTTCACATAATCCGAATATACTACTACATAACTTCAATTAGAAAACATCCCAATGTACATGGAAAAGAATTTACCTCTTTAACTTTTTACCTCTATAACTTTTTAAAATGAAAATAAATATTTCCCAAAAATATATTTGTATTTTCGTCCCACATTGATTAGTGTTGTAAAAGGATGAACATTTAATAAACTTTGAATTATATTGATATGAATTATATGAATAAAATTTACGTGATTCTTAAGTGTTCTTTTGTGTAGAAATACTTCGTATGTGCCATGAGAAGCGAGTCTTGTGTAAGCAAAGCATCCCGGACTGAGAACAATTACACTTCCTTCCAAATGGCCTCTGCACGCAAAGTCACCTGAGTATGCGCAGAAACGAAACTTAAGAACAATTATGTGAAATGTTTTGTTGGGAAGGGAGTGCAAACCAACAATTTCTATTGTTGTAGCCAAAAATTGACAATTGTGTACAAAACTTGTAAATCGAAATTACCCCTGACAGACACATACAGCAGACCTCCTTTGTTTCGACTCCGCAGACCCCAAATTCAGAATCATTCAAACACATGTTTCCGGAGATGAAATTACATTTTTCTAAAAATCATAGTTTAGATTCATTTCACAATGACAGGCAACTGAAGGTGCTGCAATGGAGCACTAATGAAATACCTTATTTTCAGGTTTCTCACCGTACGATTCTAATGTCAGCATTTAGGTACCCCTGGTGAGTTGCAAAAGATCTAGGGGACAAAGGTATGCCCTAGAAGGGGAGGCAGGAGAACACTTACATTTCGAGTTCATTTTATCGTCTCAAATGGAATATAAGTGTAATCGTGTTTCTAAATGACAATATTTTAAACATGTTTCAATCTAAATGTGGACTTTCCTCAACTGGTAAGCAATTAAACTGGAGATAAATGTGATACACCTACGTAACTTTCTATAATACATCAGTAAGATTGAAGCTTTTGTCACACGTTCTTAATGAATAAGGAGACAGAGTAGGCCAATATTTACCGCCGCTTCCAAAAGTTACTTTATCATAATCATTTAAATTTATTTTATTGAATTATTATATTGAAATATTAAAATGTATATTTATGCATAAAATATTATAAAGTATATTGATTATTTCTTTTATTTTTTAAATAAATTTAACTTAATCTTGTTTTACTGATACAAAAAGTAAAACTCAGCATAACTGAAATTTTGACGTAAT